TGGAGACTTTGAAGACCAGCTCTCACGGGAGGGACCTGTGAAGGAGCCACCTTCCTGTGCCCTGGAGAGGCCCTTCCTGTATAGGACCCAAAGAACACAAAGGTGGCTTGACCAGGAGATAGATACAGCTGTGGTTGGCCCAGGAGCCCAAACTATTTTTCTGGCTGTACACAGATTATTTTTTTAAGCTGGTTACTTAGAAATTGGCTCTGCCTGTCAAACGGAATTGACCCCTCTTCTTTACCACTCCTTTTTTTTTGGGGGGGGGGGGAAAGTTACATTAGAAAATCAGTAAGACAAAGGCCCTGTACAACTGCAGGCCCAGTTATCAGAACAGAATTGTGGTTGCCAAGACACCAGGAAGAGATATGTAGAGAGAGCTTTAGAGGACAGCACCAAGCAACAAAGTATTATTATCTTGTCAACTGTTATTCATGTTGTATCTGTTCCATCAGACACTTCTGTGTTCTGTGACCTTGGACAAGACCCTGCCAGAGAGCTGTTTGGAGGGCAAATGAGACAACACCTGTTAAAGTCTCTAGCCCTCTGTGGGGGTATTGTAAGGACAAAATGATGTCCTCCCTTGGATCTGCCTCACTTAAAATTGTCATCTCTTTGACCTGAGCATATGAGTTTGCCTCCTCACTGTTTAGAAACCTGGAATGCTAGTAGATGGGAGCTCCACTTTTGTACCTGCCAGAGCACAAAAGAAAGAAAAAGCCTTCAAGTGCTGGCAGAACGGAATCGCATCCCAAGAGCTGGAAGGGACACACAGGGCTCATCTGGACCATCCAGCCGACCCACACAACCGCCCCATCTCCAGTTTCTGCGGCAAATGCTTCTCTCCCTGCAAAACCTTACTCTGCTGAGAAAGGCTCATCACCTCACCAGGTTACACCCCTCCCATCTTTTGACAAAACTAACTGCTAGTTATGTACTATTTTTTAGTTACTTAGAAAGAAATGTTTTGTTAGATAAAATACATTTGTAAAACAAAAATTTCCAAGTATTTCAAGGACTCAAATATACATTGACGGATCTTCTGCTATGTGCTAGCAAATATATGTAGATGATGAGACAGTAATCATTTCTGTCCTCAGAGAGCTCACTTTCCAGTGGAGGAGAGAGATACAGATTATTATAAAATTATGTTGGAAATGCAGGCTATTACAGAAGCACCAGTGAAATACAGCCAGCCCAGCCTGAGGGGAGACATTCTATAAAGACTCCCAGGTGAGGCCCAAGTTGAGACTTGAAGGAAGAGCCATATATTGTAAACTAGTTAGGCTTATACAAATAGGTATTACTAATTTGGATTAGTTTAGTACATTTTAAAAAGATACATAAAGGGCATTTACCTCTGAACTTTGTGTTAGCAATTTGATCTAAAAATATAAAATTATATTTAAAAAAGTAATTTTTCACGATAGTCCATTGGCTTTCAAACTGTATTCCAGGAATCCTAGAATTTTGAGCAGTGGGGACTGGCGTGTTTTAGGCACCTGGTCTGCGGGTGGTAGAAGCTAAGCCGGCAGTCCTATGGGAAGTGCTTCTCTGCCCCTCTGTTATATTTGTGGGTGTTGTATGTTTATTTTTTTCTAATTCGAAAAGGAGGTTCTGATATGAAAATACGTTTCAAACTACAAAGCGAGGCCAAGTCTCCAGTGAAGAAGGGTTCATTACATACTGGTCATCTAAAGCCAATTTACTCATTCAGGTACTTAAAGCAAAGCACCAAAAGTATTCCCATTCCTAGTTATTTTCGCTCATTCTGCAATCATGACCCTAGTATCCACCCCAGGCAGCAACCTCATAAAATAAAGAGGTAGACTTGAAAAAAATGTATCATCATTTTGAAGAAAACACCTCAAGAAGTACAGTTCATTAATGATGAGATGGTGGCACCTTCTTGTACAAAGACAGCAAATCATCATTCTTTAGAACAAATTGTGTTATAACGAATACTGTCATAATGAAAATCACTTCATATGGAGTAGATTTATAATTCTTAATTCTAAATCAGTGTTTTGCCCTGGCTGTGTGGCTCAGTTGGTTGAGTATCGTCTCATGCATCAAAAGGTTGCTGGTTCCATTCCGGGTCAGGGCACATGCACAGGATTTGGGCTTGACCCCCACTTGGGAGTGTACGGAGGTCGGGCAGCCTGATCAGTGTTTCACTCTCACATCTATGTTTCTCTCTCTCTCCCTTTCTTTCCTCTTTCTCTAAAAATCAATACAAAATCTTTTTCTTTTTTTTAAATCAATGTTTTAAATAACATCTGATATAAAGTTTTAGAACAGCTCATGTTTGAGTAGTCCCTTTGTGTTTATTATTTTGGGACTTTACCAGTCATGTACATTTCAAAATACAACTATGTTTTTCTTTTGTCCCAAATGCAAGATGAGAACCTGGTTTTCCGAGATGACTGTCAGAAATACATTGTTTTGATACAACCACATATAGTTTTCATGGCTCTTTAGTCTAAAGGAAGATTTTCCAAAATATTTATACAATGTCTATACAATGCATCATTATGAAGCTGGTTTGAGAGAAGTAGATCTAGTCTCATGTTAAAAGAAAACATCAGATGAACAGCTTCCCTGGGCCCTACTGAAAGCCAACCAGGAAGATAGAATGAGTCCCAAACGAGTGAATTGAATAGATTGAAATCCAAAGGAGAGCTTGTTCTGTTGAGCAGCACTCAAAGGCCATAGCTCCTGAGACACTGATGTTTCCTAGAAAATCTAGGACACTTTGGGCATGCCCACACAGGGAAAGAGACCAAAAAGCAACTGTGAAGACTTTCTTACTGAAGCCTCTCCCCACCCACCGCTCCTGGTGGTGCCTCATTCACCTGTGATGAGGGCAAAAAGCTAATTCTGCTTGTGGATCAACACCCAGGTGAGCCCCCAGAGGCACCGACTCTTCGGGGCAAGTGTCAAGGAGATTACTTTTTCCACTGCTATATTGTTTGTACTCATAATATGAAAGAATATAAGGAATGTTTAGAAACCCATTTATGGATTTTTTTTTTTTTTAACCTGCTCATAAAGGTAACAATAAGCTGGTCATCAGGTTGGCAGGGTCTAGGCAGGAGACAGGATCAGAGAGAAAAGATGTGAACAAGAAAGTGGACACAGAGCTGAAACCGGTTTGGCTCAATGGATAAAGCGTGGGCCTGCAGAATGAAAGGTCTCGGGTTCAATTCCGGCCAAGGGCATATACCTTGGTTGCGGGCTCATCACCAGGAGGAGGTTTGCAAGAGGCAGCTGATCCATGATTCTCTCTCATCGATGTTTCTAACTCTCTATCTCTCTCTCTTCCTCTCTGTAAAAAGTCAATAAAATATCTTTTAAAAAAAGAAAGTAGACACAGAAAGGAAACCCCACAAACTACTGTAATTTCCCAGTCTTAGTTTTCATTGAAAACTGCTTCCTTAATGGAAAACTCAGTGCTCCTTGGCACAGCGAGCTTGGCTTATTTAGTAAGTCCTTTTAACATGACTTACAGGAGGCTCTCGGTCTAATTATTAAGAAATTACTATTATTTTTGTTAGGGATGATAATGCATGATGGTTAAGTGAGAGAGAGAATAGTCCTTGTCAGTGTGAGATACATAGTGAAGTGACATGATGCCTTAGATTTTTTTTTTTTTAAGAGAATCTGGCAAAAATAACAGTAAGTGGGGGGAAATAAGAAGATAAGACCGGCCAAGTGTTAAACTTCACAATGGCAGACGAAGGTTCATTACATTAAACTTTCTATTTCTGTGCACGTTATAAAAATTTAATAAATAAGAAGTTAAACACCGATTTTTAAAATAGGCCTAAAAGCCACACCAGAACAATACTCTCCTAGCTGGTTCCCACGCAAAAAGAAGGCAGCCTACCATTAAATGTCTTTGATTTGTCAGCTGGAAGATCCACCATTCATTGAATAATAGTTTTTCGGAGGAAAATAAGTGAATACACAGTGATTGTAAACAATCAAATTTCAGAATTGTTGAAAATGTGCAAAATATGTCTCAAAATCATTGTATTTTATTTATTTTTAAATATATTTTATTGATTTTTTACAGAGAGGAAGGGAGAGAAAGAGAGAGAGCTAGAAACGTCGATGAGAGAGTAACATCGAGCAGCTGCCTCTAGCATACCCCCTACCGGGGGGATGTGCCCGCAACCAAGGTAAATGCCCTTGACCGGAATCGAACCCGGGACCCTTCAGACCGACGCTCTACCACTGAGCCAAACCGGTTTTGGCATCGAAATCATTGTATTTTAAAGCCATTTTTTTTCTTTGTCAATTTCCATTAGGCATTATGGTTGCTAAAAGGCCACGCTTGCAAAGAAAGGTGTGCCAGGTCTCCATGATTTATTTAGTCATCATATTTTATTTTATCACTTCATTTGGGCCATTAAATTGGAGTTCATGTTAACTTAGCGGCTGAAAGTTTGCCTCCCTGCAACAGAATCGAGAACGTGCACGCGAAGCAGGCTTAAGAGTGCAAGTCAGTAAGTCTGAGCCTCTTCCCGGCCTGTACATGACCAGCCTTGTTAATGAAAGTAGTAACACTGTAAGGTCATAAAATGCCCCCAAAGCACACGTATGTGTGGACCTTGAAACTGATCAGAATCACTGTTGGTTTCCCCAGCATCGGCTGCCCCTTCAGCTGACACCGTGGGGGAGAGGAACCACGTGAGGAGCCGCCCCTCCGCTGAGCGGGGTGTTTTCAGAGGAGAGGATGCAGAACGACCAGTGATGGATCTGGAGCTAGGGCAGGTGTGCCCAGAGGCGCTCTTTCCATTGTGCCGCCCGGGGGCGTCTGGACTAGCCCTCCTCTCCCTCCTCCCCCCCTCTGACACCTCCTACCCCGCTCTCCCACACGCCCGGTGGCTGGAGGTTAGACTGGCAGCCTGACTCCGCATCGGGCGGGGAGGAAACCCGGTCCAGAGACGCCAGGTGCCCGGCCCCGCGTACAGATGTGCACAGCTGGTACTTACTGTCTTCCGGCAGGCTGTTCTCCCGCTCTTCCCTCTCCATCTGCTGGCACCAGCCTTCCATGCGGTCGCGCTCCGCCTGCAGAAGCTTCAGGAACCAGTGGCCATCCCGGTGGCACACCGACCTTTGCACGGCCTCCATGGGGTCTTCGGTGATCGAGTCAATCCAGGGATCCGGGGGAGGCAGGATCGAAGGGTCGAAATCCGCGTCGAAGTCGTCATCGGCCGCACAGGCGTGGTAGTGGTTTCCTGAGCCCTGGATGCTGACAGTGGAGGTGCTGGCGTCCCGGGAGAACTGTCTGGCCGCGGGGCCCGGGCACGAACTGTCCTCTATAGACTCCAGAGAGTTTTCCAGGTTGTCGTGGAAGTCCAGGTCCGCCTGCACTGCTGTCGTCACACTGTTGGATCGGGTGAACCTGCGGAAGCTTGGAGGAATAGAGAAAGGAGATTTAGTGCGAGGATATTTCTCGAAGCAACACCACTTTCTACATTCCTTCATGGGTGTGACCATAGGGGGCCTCATCTTCTCAGTCTGCAGAGGCAGGTCCTGATACAACCATATCAGTTGCTGTAGCTCTAACATATAGAATAAAGAATACATAAAGAATACAAATTTCTCTGAGCATCGATCTACGAACCAGGAGGTCACGGTTTGATTCCCCGTGGCGCATATGCCCAGCTGGCGGGCTCTGTCCCTGGTACAGGAGGCAGCCTATCAATGATTCTCTCTCATCATTGATGTTTCTATCTCTCTCTCTCCCTCTCTGAAATCAATAAAAAAAAATATTTAAACAAAGAATACAAATTTCTCATCTTCATTCAATATTAAAGCACATCTACAGAGATTTTAGAAGTGGAGCAATCAAAGCCAGTATCATGTCCAATGGCCTATTTCCTCCCCAAATCTGAACAGCCTGAATCCTGGAATTCAGATTGGCGAGGGGTAAAGGAGCAATTCCGTTATATCTCATTATGCGTAACTAGCATAGAAACGGGAAGGAGCGGAACCAACCCAAACTGGGCCGAGGCTATCATGAATCTGGCAAAAATCACATTTTCCCAGCGGCAGCTCTTACCAACTAAGACTTCCTGAAAGCAAATTAAAGAATGGGTAGGTTCCCCTTGAAGTAAGATTTCTTTCCCTGGTAAGGAGTCACATGTCTCTTGATCATATAGGTGGCTGTTATTATTTGGTACAAAGCGTTTGGGGCAAAAATCAGCACACAGTCCTAGAGTTCTCCTGGACCATCCTCCCTGTGCCTTTCATTTCCCTTCTCACGGTCCTTCTACCAAGGTGATGGAGACAACTTGTTAAGAGATTCAACTTGAGCATTTTATTTATTTATTTATTTATTTAAATATATTTTATTGATTTTTTACAGAGAGGAAAGGAGAGGGATAGAGAGCTAGAAACATCGATGAGAGAGAAACATGGACCAGCTGCCTCCTGCACATCCCCCACCGGGGATGTGTCTGCAACCAACGCACATACCCCTGACCAGAATCGAACCTGGGACCCTTCAGTCCGCAGACCAACACTCTGTCCACTGAGCCAAACCGGTTTTGGCCAACCTGAGCATTTTATATGGACATCCATGCAATCAGCATTTCCCAACCAAAGGACTCTGTACATCCCTGGTTGATTCCTGCAGGGAAGGTGGGAGGGTTGGGGAAGAACCGAGGAGCAGTGAATTCTTCCTCAGACAAGGGGAATGGAAGATGTGGATGTGCACCAAATTAAAATGCACACACACACACACACACACACACACACACACAGGCTTCATTGCTCCTAGCGCAGGCAGAAAACGATGGAGAATATAAGTCCACTGAAGGTAGCAACGTGTGTCTATTATCCCTTCTGTATTTCTTTGTTTTTTTTCTTAAGATAATTTCTTGATCTAATACTTTATATATTGTGAAAAAATACATATCACAGAATTTACCATTTTAATAAGTGTTAAGTTACAGTTCAGTGGCATAAGTACATTATTCACATGAGGTGCATCCTCACCATTACCCATCTCCAGAACTTTTTCATTCTTGATAATTGAAACTCGTTACCCCTTAAATAACTACCACTCATCCTACCTACCCCTTCCCCGGGCTTGGCAATCACCATTCCTCCTGTGCCTTTGCATGTGACTACTTTAAGTCTCTCATATAAGTGGGATCAAAGTAATTGTCCTTTTGTGACTGCCTTATTTCATTTAGTGTAATGCCTTCAAGGTTCATCCATGGTGTAGCATGTGTCATAATTTCCTTTCTTTTAAAGGGTGAATAATAATCCCCCCTATTCATGGGGCTATGCCTCAAACCCCCAGTGGGTCCCGGAAACCATGGTTAGTACTGAACCTTATGTATACTGTTTTTCCCTACACATTCATACCTGAGAGAAAGTTTAATTTATAGACACAGTAAGAGAGTAAAAACAATCCTACATAATAAAAAGCTAATATGCAAATAGACCAAACGGCAGAACAACCAAACAACCGGTCACTCTAACGTGCCTTGACCACCAGGGGGCACACACGAACATGGTGGGCATTGGCCATGGTGGGATAGTGGAGCAGGTGAACAGGGGTACCAGACCAAGGTGGGGGTGTTGGTTGCTGTCATCGGGCTGAGCCTCTGGTGCTTACTGAAAATTCTTTGCTCCTGTGTGCTGTGGTCCTGCTAGGCGTTCACATCTGCTACCAGCACTGGCCCTGCTTGCACCTGCTGCCATTGCCTGGTGCCAGCCCCGATCACTTGGCATCATCAATAGGTGTGAGCAGTGGCTGCCAGCCCCGATCGCCCCTGAGGGCTCTCCACCTTTCCCTGCTCTTGAGCAGCAATTGGGGCAGCAGCCTCCGCCCACACTTACTGCTGGCACTGGCCCCAATTGTTCTGCACTGTTAGCGGGTGTGAGCAAGGTCAGTATTGTCAGCACATGGGTCTGGCAGTGATCGAAGTAGGGCAGCTGGCAGGTAGGGGACCAGGGGTCCGTAGCCTGGAGGATGGGCCAAGACCTGCCACCACAGCCTTACAGCCCACAATTCCTTTCAAGGTGCACAAATTCATGCACTGGGACCTTAGTAACTAATAATACAATGGAACAATTATAACAATATACTATAATAAAAGTTATGTGGGTCTCTCTCTTTTTCTCTCTCAAAATTTCTCATTGTGCCAAACTCACCTTTTCACTTAATGGAAGCACCACACAGTTTCTCTTTGGCATAGCTGAATGGCCAGCATCACTACTCTTGTGCTTTGAGGGGCCAATAAGTACAAAAAGGGTTTTTTGAACACAAACACTGCGATATCAGACAGTCAATCCGATAACCTAGTCTGCTGCTGACTCACGGGCAGGGCAGGGAGTATACACAGAGCTAATGCCCTGGACAAAGGGATGATTCACTTCCCAGGAGAAACAGAGGAATGGAGCAAGATTTCATCACGGTATTCAGAACAGTGCACAATTTAAAACTTAGAAATTGTTTATTTCTGGAATTTTCCACTTAATATTTTCAGACATGATTGACTGCCAGTAACTGAAACCTCAGAAAGCAAAACCACAAATAAGAGGGGACTGCTGTATGTATATACCACATTTTGTTTACATATTCATCTCTTGATGGACTCTTCTGCTATGAACATGGTTGTACAGATATCTCTTTGAGATCCTGCTTTCAATTCTTTTGGGTATATACCCAGAAGTACAATTGCTGAGTTATATGGTAATTCATGGTAATTCTGTTTTTAATTTTGAACAACTGTGATGCTGTTCTCCATAACAGGCACACCATTTTATATGCCCACCAACAGTGCACAAGGGGTCCAATTTCTCCACATCTTTGCCAACACTTATTTATGTTTTGTTTTTCTCTAGCAGCCATCCTAATGGGGCCGAGGTGGTAAATTTTCTTGACCCGCTCATGATTATACCACTTTAAGACTGCTTATTTGCCAGTTGATTTTCAGTTACTGTTTCGTGTTCCATAGTGCATTAAACAATACAGCATTTAATAAACCAGATATGCTTTCCTAGAACACTCTGTGAAAGCCAATTAAAACTAGTACTCTGATCCCTCAAAAATAAAGAATGGCCAGAACAAACCAGGTAATTACTTGCAACTCTATACCCCTTAGAAAAACTGGAAGTCCCAATCATCTGAATAAATCACCTTTTCCCCAAGATAATAAATGTCTAGGAAAAAAGTGGCTGCACTAATCTGTGTTAGTTATTAGCACGGTCAAAATGATCAAATATGTTGTGATTCATTTTTATGAAGATGAACCAGACTAAACTAACCCATTTCAAGAAATCACTTCCATGATACCTGGTCATTTTATAAGTTTTTAAACTCTCCAATGGGCCATTAAAAAGCACATAGTGTGCGAGTCTGAAGGCAATGGTATAGATCCATGTACTTGTGGGGAAACGGAGAAGAGCCGCTTATTCCTGAACTTTCTCTCCAGCTGCATATGTGTGATCTGGATGGCTCTCTCCTCGCAACAGGTGACAGCGTGGCTGTTCCACTAACACAAAATCCAAGCTATGAAAAAACACCGGGCTGCGCTCTCCAAGATCGTGTACTGCCAGAGGCATTACATTTCCAGACTTAAGGACGGACCAGTGCCCTATGGTTTTCAACTGGAGCAAAGTTGCCAGAGACAGAATCTGTTTCACATGCAAAACAGAATGACCTACTTTCCTGGGCCCGTTTCTACCGACGCAAAACCGTACCCTCGGCATTCCTGACAGAGGCTCCTGGCTATGAATCTGGTAAAGTGTCCACCTCCTTAAGAAAAATCACTTGGCAGCAGATGAGTAGAAGTTTGCAGTGTAGTCACCCAGAGAGAAATAACAGTTAAGTAAAATGAAAATGGTTTGGGATTAAAAGCGGTGCCTTTGAACTCCGGCAGCCGTGGCCCGGCTGCACCGTGTCTATCAATTAAAGTTCCTCAAGCAAGTGCTTTCTTCCACGCAGAGCTTTCAAAGAATGTTCTGCTCTACGGAACGTGCTTAGTCTTTCATGGGCAAAGTTCCTTCTCAGGGAAGGGTGCAATCAAGTTGTTGCTGTTTTAAATGTTTGACAAAAACACAGAGGCAGTCACTGGATTAATTTCTGTATTTTTGAAAAGAACAGATTCGGTGCTGGTTGCTGCTAAAAATCCAAAAGCTGAACCCAGTGTCTTGCTAGTGTTGAACCCACAATCTTCAGCATTGAAGCTTCTTGAGTCCTTCATGCCCTGGAGGCACAATGTGTAATAATTACAGCTTCTGAAACAGACCGGCCAATATTCTGGTCTAAGGAGCAAAAAACCATGAAACTGCAGACTGGCTCAACCAGTATGGGACACAATACCCTGTCTGTTCTGAATAGCAAGAGAAAAGTCACTTGTTAGTATTCACTTCTGCTGTTGCTTTGTGCTTCTT